AGTGCTTTCTGGAAAATAGGCAGAGCTGTTTACGCAGGGAAAAGTCACTCAATTCATCCTGGCCCTTGAATAGTCTGATGATGCATCTCACTGTTTCCCGTTACCAAAAGAAAAAATAATAATAATAGTGAACTTCACATAAGCCAATTATGGTTTATATACTGGTTGAGTAAGCACAAAGCCAATTTGCAGCTTTTCTAACAAGCTTCCAAAGAAGCTTTGCTTCACCTCAATACTGTGTCAAGTGCAAAGTCAAGGTGTGATGTCCCTAAATTCCAGCCTCCAATGAAGAGAAGATACCAGCTACTCACCAGACCCAGCCCAGAAGCCAAACCCCTGAATACTGGGGAAGGCTGCAGCAAACTACCCCCAAAATATGGCATTTACTATGCTTGCTTTACCTAATTGATAGACATTGTCCAAATGTATAGTCAGTGGACCTGTGTCTATGTAATTACAGAAGCTTTTTTCTTTCATACTAAGTATACATCTTATTTGAAAAAATAGTTTTCTTGGAGATTCAGCTTAATTTCTTAATTGTGCTGGAGGCTCTGTCTGTCTGTCTGTCTGTCTGTGACTGGACCTGAGAGCCGGACATATACCATTAGTCCAAATGAGAAAGCCTGACCCTATCCTACACTTTGTGGGGATAACTTATGGGGTAAAATCAGAAGTTGTTTATTGCAGTAGACACTCTGGGTTGCTTGTACTTCCTCATTACACAATTTCCCATAAGTCAACTAAGATGCATTATTCCAAGATTGGAAAGTTTTGTAAAACAGAAGTGTTTCCCTCCTCTGACAGATTTCATAGTTTGAAGATATGAACACCACATCTGTGTCTCTCTTGGGGTCTAGCGTGCTCATCCATTGATCCATTGACAGCTGCCACATGTTTTATACCCATAGAAACTAGCTTCATGCCAAGGTTCTAATCCCACTTCATCACTGGGCTTCCACTGCCTAGGATGCCGCCTCTGCACCATGTAGACTTGGTAAAATGAAAAATAGTCACTTCCTCAGTGTAGGCTGGTTTTTCCCTCAGCCAAACTGCGTGGGGTGTTAGATCAGTAACGGCTTAGATTCCCTCCCAGCTTCCACAGTCTAAGATGCTACATTAAAGTATACAAAGGGAGAAAGCCCTCTGTGCATATGCCAGCTCTGATTTCATGTTCTAATTGAATTTGTCACCAAGCCTTGGACTTGAGCACCCCACCCCACCTCAGATGACCTCACACGAACACCCCTGCCTAGGCAGATAGCCATGTGTTGTGGTAGGTGACAGTCAGAAGGTAGAACTCAGTAGCAGTGGCCAACAATAACACTTGGGACTCTCCAGGCAGATAGTCTGATGATGTGGCCGACTATTTCCCACCAGCAAAAGAAAAAAAATAATAAGAAATAATGTCTTTCTTTAGGGGACCAGAAATGGTGAAATGCCAGCTGCCTAGGAAAGGACTGGCCAAACAGCTAGACAACCTACTAAGTAAATGTCCCCTGTGTCTGCAATTCTTTTCCCCTTCCCTTTCCTCTCTCCAACCTCTCTCTCATGTAGCAACCTTGCACAACTCAAATTCATGGCGTCACTTTCAATTGCTGTTACATAGATTACATATGAGTGTGCGTGTGTGTGTGTGTGTAATACATATTTGTATATATGTGTGTGTTTTGTGTACATATTATTCACACACACACACACACACATATATATATCCCTTAGTTTCCCCACGTTTCTAATTTTTTGTCTAGGGCTGAGGCTGAGGTTGCCTCTTCTGTGTTAACCCATCTACTGGTGTTATCTCTGTTCAGGTCCTGCTTAGCAGCCATGTTGTTGAGACTTCATGTGTGAAGTTTCCCTGACATATTCAGGAGACACAATCTTACAGCAGACTTCTGTTCCTCTGGCTTTTAGAATATTTCCACTCCTTCTTCTATGTTCCCTGTGCCTTTCGTGCAGGAATTCTCAGTCTGTGGATAATAGTGGTTTCCAAAGCTTCAAATCCAGTGTCTTTACCAAGAAGGTTGCTTTTCTCTCTTGACCGGCCCTTGCAATCAGTCTCTCTGAATAGTCAAAACAAGCTCCCTAAAGGCAAGAGTCACCTCCAACTGCATCCAACGTTGCAGTAAGCAAGTCTTTCTAGGACAATCCCTAAACCACTGCAAATCTAAATGTCTCATTTACAGAACTTTGGCCTGGAACGTGTACGCTGTGTTTCAGTTTGTGAGTAACTTCCAAACTTGATATGGTCACAACAATCCATCAGCAACAGAAATGCAAGCAGCGAGAACGACTCATTCCAAAGGTCCTTGTGTATGTCTCACTTATATTCTCCAATTAATCAAGCCAACGCCTCAACTCTCCGCCAGCGATCCTTCTCCGTCCTTACATCCACCAAGCAACTTGATGTTGTGAAACGGACAGTATGGTACCCGGATGAGAGAGTGTGGGACCCAAGGAGTTCCAACCCAGAGTCACCACATACTACAACAGACCAGGAAGACTATTGGAGACTATTTTCTTACCCGCAGAATGGAGGGGACACCTGCTTGACAGGGATGGTGAAATACTCTGTGTAAACTACCTTGCTGCTCTCTCAATAAGTTCATACAATATTTATACATATCAGAGCCTATAGTAAGCTTTTGTGTAGCTAGTTCATCATGCTAATAAAAGAAAAAGAGCCACAAAAATAAAAATAACAAAGACTTCTACGAAAAACTGGGAGAAGGGTCATTGAAAGCCACAGTGAGACTGGCATTGTTATCTAAGGACACTGTATAGGCACAGTATTAGCTTCCTGTATCCCCTATTATTCTTCTAAGTACCCCACACCATATTTACTTGAGCTACCCTACCTGGTGTCTGCCATTAATGCAGCCAAGATTGCTAATGGGGCAAATTCTCCTGAGAACAAAGTCACCAGATCACTATTGTACACAAAAAACAGAGCCCGTCCTGATGACTGGACTGTTAAAGTGGGGGTGGGGGAGAAGGTCCTCACAGAGCTCCCAAGGGTTCCTGGCGTATCCTCACACTTCAGGATGATTGGCTCCCCTTTCTACTATTCCATCAATTTAAATGAAGCCTTTTTGCCGTAGTTACCAGGAGGTCAAGAGACCCTTGATCAAGATCAAGAGTCATCACCTTGAGATTGTCTCTAAAAACCCTTCATAAACTTCATTTAACTGTCAAGCTTACGCTGTCAGGTCATCAGTTGTAAATCTGGGTGCAATGTGTGGGTATGTTGAGTTTGATCGTTTAATAAAAGGAGCTGGGCCCTTTCTTGGTTAGTTAAAACATTCGTTTTCACTATACTGAGAACTTCAAGTACCTATTTCATGCTAAAAGATATAAAAAATAATAATCCAAACGACTATACATTGAGCAGTAACTTCAGACTGGATGTGCGAGTGGACTGATCTACAAGAATTGTATTTGTGCCGGGCGGGGGCACACAGCAGCCTATGCTGGTCTAAGGTGTTTAGAAGGAAGTTGGCAAGGGACCTAACTCTGATCATTAGGATCAGTGCGCCATCAACTCTCTCAATCTGAGACTGTCAATTCAAGTCCACTGTCCCAAGGACTCTCTGGTTGTTTACTATCCACACTTGTTTAAAGGACATAGACTTTGCCATTGTTATAAAAGGACAGAAAGGAGTCTCCCAGGGGACACTGAGATTTACCTCATAAATGCTAAGAACAACAAACTCACTCTCTCTCTCTCTCTCTCTCTCTCTCTCTCTCTCTCTCTCTCTCTCCCCTAAACATAGAGAGGAACCAGAGTGTCTGTAGAATGAATTCCCAGGCCATAGCAACTGTAATGCCTTGAGATGGAAGCAGTAGATCTTGGCTGGCCAGGCAGTAAGCCCTTTAGGGGAAGGAGACAAGAGGCCTGCCTTCCCTTACACAGCCCAACCAGGAAAACAAGCACTTTTTTGTTTTTGTTTAGTTTTTAGTTAACGATCTTCATCCTCCCTGCAGGGATAAAAGATATGGCTGGTTTATGGCGTCTCAAGGGTTTGAATTCAAATTTTCTTCCACCTAATTCCCCACTTGGCCCCAATATTGGAAATAAAGGGCCAGCTGGGGCTAAGTTTTGGATAAGGGATGATGTCAGGCTTTGATCAGATAAAGTGATGGAGGATTGCGATCGGGGCACGCCCCAGATTTGGGTACTGAGAGAGCCTGCATCATCTTGCGTGGTGACATGTCTAAACACAGACAAGGAGATATAAGAAAAGGATGGAGAAAATTAATCCTCCTTTATGTAGCTCTTTCCCATCCCCCCTCTACTGAGAGCCACAGCGCCGGTTGGCTCCAAGCCGGTGCTTTAGAGGCGCCTGGGTCTCTGGGTCCTTCTTCTCCTCCCGCCCCTTCTTCTTCTTCTTTTGGCGTGCAGAAATCAGGACCCATCTGAGCCAAGAGGGAGGAGAGAAGCAAGGAAGCTGAAGCACAGGGTGGCCTGCACCCTACTCCGGAATGCCTCGCGCGCGGAAGCATGCAGCAGTTGCTCGCGTCCGGAGCGCACGGTCCCGCTGTCTCTACTGCGGTAGCATCCGGACATGACATTGCAGTAGCGACAAAGCAGCGGCCACAACTGGTAGCTGGCAACTGACAGGACTACTCGGGCCTCACGCGGCGCCAAGGGTCTGGCGGCGAATAATATTGGGGTGAGGCTGGGTGTTGGGGTGTGAGATAGGCCGAGTCGGGGGCAAAAGCCCTGAGATGCGCAGGACGACGGGGCGGCCACCTCTCGCGCCTCCTCCAAGCAGCCAGATTGCAAGAAAAATAATTCTTTAACACTCCCTAGTCTCAGCTCACCCCACAAAAAAGATGATCTAGTAGGAGTCCTCCTCCGTCTGGCTATTGCCTTGTAACCAACCCTTCCAACCGGCTGGTCCCAACGCACGCCTCCCTCACTACGGGCCCGAGGACCCGCCCGGCTCCCGGACACAGGCTCGAACACAGCGGCCACTCTAGGGTCCCCTCCGATCGCTCACCAGGAGAAGAGAGCCGGCGACCATCGTGGCTCCGACTTTGCGGGCGATGCAGCTGCAAGAGGCGAGGGCGGTGATGTTGCTTGCCGAGGTCCCCATGGCTGAGCCTGGGACTCACAGCGGCACCCAGGGCGCTCGGCCCCACGGCAGCTGGAATCGGTGGCTGTTACTGCCCAGCGCCGCATCCACCGCCGCCCCACGGGCGGTGAGCCCATCTACCTCCAGCAGCCCATGTGCACTGCAGCAACCAGGCGGCCAGGCGGAAGAGGAGGCAGCAGGGAGGTTCGGAAAGGCGCTCAGCACCTGCCCAGGGGCTCTGGCACCCGGGCAGGGAGAAGCAGGCGCGCTTGCAACCCACGCCTCCCGGTACTCTCCAGCGACAGTGGCTGCCGAGAACCAGGGAGCAGGGCGAGCCGCGACAGTGCTAAAGAGCGACTTCCCATAGCGAAGCTTCCAGCCACCACCAACCACTCGCCTCCTCCGCTGCCCAGACCGGCCGGCGAGGGACTGAGTCGGATGGACACTCAGCTCGGGGACACACGTGGTGGCGCCGAAGGGGCGGAGAACGACCCTTTGTGATGTCACCCGGGAGGAGGCCGGGCTCTTTGTGCAGATGGAAAGAACTCCAGGAGCTCCAGAGACCGAGGGAAGGAGAGGGAGCCCCTTGGCGTTAGCCGGAGGAATTGCATTTGCTTGTTAGCCTGCGAGTCCTGCACACAACCCTCACCCTGACTTAACTTAAAAAAAAAAAAATGATTCCAAGTAGATTGTATGTAAAGCAGAGATTATTTTATTTTCCTAACATAAATATTAACAACAGCCAACATAACTTGAACATAATGGCGCATGCCTGTATTTTCATTTGCCAGGAAAGCTGAGGGAAGAGAATTTGGAGTTGGAGGAAATGTCTGAGCTACACAGAGAACCCATATCTAATGCATAAATGTGAATGAATGAATGAATGAATGAATGAATGAATGAATGAATGAATGAATGAATGAACGAACGAATGAACGACCTGAGAATAATGGTGTCATTAAGCATTCTGTAGGGTGAGATGAAATTCTCCAGTTCCAGGCCAGCCAAAGTTGGAGTTCTATACAAGCCTGGCTTACAGAGCAAAATTCAGTCCCAAAAATTAATTAATTAATCAAACAGACTAGGAAAAAAACCAACAATCGTGGAGGAACTTACAGCAACTGCAAGACACAAAGAGACTTGTGTGTTCGTTCCCAAACTCTGCTGTGTTTTGGGGTGTCCTGGGGTCTCACACTGGACCAAGAGGAAAAAACAAGTGTAGTCTCTGAGTTTACCTGTGGCTCCTCCTGCCTGCTTCCCGACAACAGACCCGATGTAACCAGCTGCCTCCTCCCCTCTCCTGCAATAGCTGTATTCCTGAAACTGTGAGCCAGAACGAACCTCAACTCTCTCAGTTTGCTTTTGTTGGGTATTTAATCTCAGCAGTGAGGAACCTGTACAGAGACAACGCTAAACAGCCCTGAAAGGAAGGTGCCGTGATAGAGGTCCTATCTCCTTCCTTGTCGGTTACTACATTGAGAGTTGGTTCTTTTTCTCCGCATTCTTTGGAAGAAAGAGATGTATTTACAAATAAATATGAGGATTAATCCTACTCTCATCTTTCAAACATCTGCCAGTTTAAAAAGAAAAAAAGCTTGACCATAAACTCTTAAGGGGAAAGCTATAATATTGAATTTCCAGTAAATTAAAAAGTTCTGAAAAATACTATCCTTAAATACAGGATTTGGGGAAGAGGGGGAGTGATATTTCAACTTGAAATTCTCAAGCTCTCTCTGAGGCTTCCAAAAGTGAGGTGGAGGTGGAGGTGGAGGTTACTATGTCTTCATATATAATAGGGCCAATTAATTCTTCAAAAATTCAAATTATTGGCCACTATAACCATAGGTCTTTTTGTTTAAAAGGAAACAAAGTGAGATATTTTTTAAAAGGGGTCAGCCGACACCTTGCAAACAAATATGAATTACTTGAGGCAGCGTGTGGTTTGTACTTCCAAGCTGGGAGAATTTAATTTGAGTAACTGCGGTTCTGACCTGTTCATTTTCTTTGTTCTTTGTATTGCTTTCATGTTCCATCAAGTCCTTATGAGGAACTAATCATCTGAGTTCAAATTTTCACGTGCCTTTGGGTCTGAGTTTGGTTTGGTTGGCTTACTGCTTTTTTGGTTTTGTTTTAGGCAAGGTCTTGCTGCGTAGCTCAGGTTAGCCTCCAGTAGACGGCCATCCTCCTCCTTCAGCCTCCATTTGAATTACAACCGAGCAATCGCTATGCCCCTTATTGAAATATATTCAGTTCATCTTGCTTACTGCCAATTAAGAAAAAAAAAACCCTTGTTATGCATCACAAACAAACAAAAACTATTGAATCTAGCATGTTTAAAAATAGAGAAATGTCTTTCATTTTACGCTGTAAAATGCTTTAATTACTTCCCAGCCACATATTCAATATGGCCGTGCGGATGTCCTTACTTACTTATAAACAGTGAATATTCAACCATAAATAATGGATTTTCTGCCCAAGCTCCAAAGAAAGGGAAGGTAAGTATTAATAAAACATGACAATAGCTAAAATGGAGAGATACAAATGAGGCCAAGCTGGGTAAAACCAATCCTATCTTTGCCGTAAAATAACTGCCTCTGACCACCAGCCGAATTGAAACTTTGCATACTTCTTCCAGTACGGCAGAAATCGGCTTCCCTAGCCTCAAGCTCACCATCCCATTTCCTTGATATATTGCCAATCGATGTATTTTTCGATGTTTCCACACACCCCTCCCCCATTTTCTAGTTAAAACCCCTGAGTGCTGAAGGCGGCAGCAGTTTTTGCCATCTTCTCCTCTGTTTGATATTTCTAAACTCTGTCCTAATTCTTCCTTTAGGAAACTGTAGGAAATTTTCAGTTGGGGGAGGGGGCGGGATGGGGGAGGTGCTGGAGAACCGGCTATGCAGTTAAGAGCTGTGAAGGAGACAGGGGGCGGAGTAAAGCAGGGGCGGGACTATAGTGGGAGGGGAAAAATAAAATAGAGGGAGAGGAGGGAAGAGGCATAAATAAGACTAAGTGTGTTTGAAAAGGCCAAAGGAAATGGTATTTCTCGTTTACTTAAAGATATACACATAACGGGGCATGGCTAAGTGGTTAAAAGCACTAACTGCTCTTGAAGACGACACAGGCTGTCTCCGTCACTCATATGGCTGCTCACAACTGTCTGTAAATCCAGTTCCAGGGGACCTGATGCCCTCTTCTAACTTTCTCAGGAATCAAACACACATGTCCTGCTTGTACATGCATGCGGACAAAACATACACATATAATAGAACTCTAAAAAGAATACGTGTAGTGTGTGTGTGTGTGTGTGTGTGTGTGTATGTAATATATATATAAAGGTGTAAGTATTGCATACGTGTGCTTTAGAAAGGCGTTACACCAACTTGGGCTATAATGATCCCTGCAAGAGCCGTAAACTTTCTAGTTCCAGGTATGAAAAACCTCTGAGTTGTTGGTCAGAAAAGTTCAAGAGGTTTCTGCTACTTCTCTTTGTTGCCTCCCAGAACTTGATGTTAAAACCATATGGCTAAAGACAACACACACTTTGGACACAGGACTTGGAAGAATCAAACGGGAACTGACCTGGAAGCCTCTCTGAGGACTAGGTCTCATAGTAAAAAGGGAGAAAAGCCACAGCCATCTGTAACTCCAGTTCCAAAGGATCTGACGCCCTCTGCTGGCCTCTTTGAGCACCAGCCATGCAAGGGGTGCACAGTTAGAAGCAGTCAAGAGACCTATGCATATAAAATGAATAAATGCCTCAAAAAAAAAAAAAAAAGAAGAGGTCATAAAATTTGGAAGGGACTGGTTGGGGGAGGAGTCAGGATGAGAAGGGTGGAAATGAGGGAAGTACAGTATTCATGTATGAAATTCCATAAAATATTAAATTTTAAAAAAAGAGCATTTGCTGCTCTTGCGAGAATCTGGATTTGATTCCCAGCACCCACAAAGCAGTTCAGAATCATCTATAACTCCAGTTCCAGACGATCCAACAAACACCCTCTTCTGACCTCTATGGACACCAGGCATGCGCATGGTATACATGTATGCATACAAGAAAAACACTCACATACATAATACAAATAAGTCTATTTTTTAAAATAGAGGTCCATATGGCTGTTTGGAGGCAAACAACTGTTTTCTGATGGGACGTAGAAGAAAATTTGTGTCTGGTCCTGTAATTCTATTTAAAAGCCTAGGCTGAGCTAGGGTGAAGTGGATTTAACAAGACTAAGGTTGAACACTAAAATGTGTGTGAAGCCAAGTTCAAAGGGAGAAAGGACATGAAAAGCTGATTAAGCAGGAGTGAAGTTGTTCTGTTTCCACATGCCCTGCATATCTCTGTATGTACATGTACACAGCACTGCTGTGTGGCGTGGATCCAAGAAGAATCTTTCTTTCCTTTGAAAAACCCCACCATCTCCTCTCCAGAGGAGAAGGTTAGTTAAGAGCACAGCATAGCACCAGGGATAAGCGCCTGTCTGTCATAATATTCGAGGTCCAGGGTTCAATACCCACCTCTGCAAAAGAAGAGAGAGGTAGGGAGAGGGAGACAGAGGGGGAGAAGGGGAGAGGGAGAAAGAGGGAGAGGGAGAGAGGCATAGAGAGAAGGACAGAGACAGAATGTGTGTAAGTCAAGGAGTGTATCTATAGCATAGGTAAGTATGGTTGGTAGGAACCGCCACTGTCCCCATGTTAACACACACATCCTATTTTCAGCTGACAGTGTGGCTGCCCAGAGTAAGAGGATGCATTTTCTACCCCTGGTACTGCACGTGACTAAAGATCTGTCCAATCAGAATTGTATGTTCATTCCTTCCAGAAAAGCTCCCATTGGCTAAGGCTGAGTAAGTTATCATCCACCCATTCATATGGTATCTCTAAGACTGGCTAATCCCATATTGACTCAAATTGACTTCTATCTCCTGGCTCAGTCAAGCCTCTTTCCTGGATGGTTACTTATCTCTCCTGCTAGTTTTTCTGTGGTCTCTCAGCCCTTCAATAAATCAATTCTTCGTGTGCTTAAAAAAAAAATCTTCGGGAAGTTTCAAGAGCCACATCAAATGGCACTTTACCTACAGAACTTTCTCTACATTTACTGTAGAAGACACCAATCCTTTTCTAGTTTCCCCTCACAGGGCTCAGAAGTGTCATGTGTGATATTATCCTATGGCCAGTTTACCTTTGTGTGCCTATCCTAGCCTTTGAGGTCCTTGAAGGCAGAGTACATGTCTTAATTTTTGAATCTCCATAGTCAAAATTGGAAGTAATGACCTCACTCAATAAATATTTGTTAAGTGAAACGACTTTGAAAGGTTGGCAGCAATGGAG